TACCAGAGGCCCCTCGCCTCAGCTCAGCCCCTCCTACCTTGTGGGGCCCCATTTAGTCCTTTACAACAGGCAGCAAACACTGGCCAAGGCACAGCCTGTTGTGCACAGGGAGCACAGACAGCCTCCCACACCAAACTACATACAGGCGTGATAGACTGTAGGTTACTCTGGGCCAGCGTTCAAAGAAGCTGCTGTGTATTCAGTATAAGTGGATAATTGTTCTTTGGAAAATGCACAAACAGACAGAGAAATATGTGTATGGGTGTCTTGTGGTGGGGTGTGGGGCAAAGGAGAACGCTAGCTGTGGAAATGCGAGCTAGCCGGCATCTGATTGGCCAACCGAGAGGGCTGATCCAGGCTAGATTTGTGGTTCAGCTCAGGTCTTGGAGAGGTTAATTTGTAACCCTGGGAAAGAGAAGCTGGGGCCCAAGCTCCCTGTAACAACCTCATGGCTGTGGACGTGGTGTGTTTCATGGAAGACAACCAACATGTTAAGGCCGTCTTTGACTGAAGATATTCTAAGCCATCCTACACTCGTTCAATTTTGTCAACTAATCAATTAGTTGAAAAAATGAACAGAGCCGTTAATCCACAAAGATTTCCATCAAAAGTACCACATCAAATCTTGTTTTTACCACAAATCTGATCTTAAGTTTATTGAAAATAAGTAATTTAGCATAAAAAAAGTATTAAAAAACTTGAGTTGAATGAGGAAATAATAGTCTAAGACAAAATACACCAATGGGTCCATTAATCGATTAAGGAGGGCAGCCCTACAAGATGGAGAGCTTGCTATGTCTGACACCAACTTCTCCTCTTCTTCATTTTATACTTTTAACTTCTCTTTAAATGTGCTTTATAAATAAAACCTGATTTGATTTTGATTTGATTTATCAACCTTTACCTAATTTGCTCAAGTGCCTCTCCCGGGGACCACAGATAACCACTATTTGTCTACGTGGTCTGACGGCAGAAGCAGAAGTGAGGTTAACTCAGGGAAACTGATGCACATATGATCACAGACAGGAACTTATGCAACGCCGGCTGCGGCCCTGTAACCGAGACTTCTCATTTCACTCTTCTTCCATTATTTCCAGCCTACCTCTTGGTCCATCGGCTCCGCTTTTCAGTGTCTGTGTCATCCGACGGCTCGCCACATCCATCAAGGTCCGAGACCTGATCAATAGCCAGTGGCTTTCCTCTCATGCGCCTTGCAGACGCACACAAGTGGTCTTATTGCTCATGTAACGGTCGACTTATCGGGTCATTTGGCTGCTTATTTTGTTACTGTCCGCTGATTGGGGCCCAGGGGGTATTGACTGTTTACATCCAGACACATGTGGGCGACAGCACAGGGGTTAGAAGAAAAGGGAAGTGCACACTAAAGGCCATGAGTCAAGATGGGTGAGGACATGAGCCCAAGAGAAGAAGGCAGATGGAAGATTGACGTCATTATAGAGGGAGAGATAGCAAAGGCAGCACAGTGAGCGATTAGAATGCCTGCCAGAATCCAATTAGATACAGCCCAAGAGAATGACTGACAGGCAGACAGACAGACACAGCAGACAGCCCAGGAGACAGCCAGAGAGTGCAGCTGCACTGGTCTGCGGTAATGAAGTCACTGGTTTCCAAATAGCAACTAGAAGAAGTCGGAGAGATGCAGCTGTCTGCCGTCTGTGCCGCAGCCACTGTGTCAGCCCAGCCAGCGAGACAGACAGAGGAAGGCTGTTCTCTCCGTCTGACACTTCTGACTCTGGGCCAGCACAACGCCACAAACAAGGAAAATAAGCAACACACAGCTATGTTCCTCTCCTCTGTGGTTATGCTAGCTAGGGTGGGGGAAATATGTCTAAAATATCATGTCATAATGTTTACTTATCTCAAAACTACATATTTGCTTCTACTTTAGACATATAAACACAGAAAAGTTAATGATTGTGGTCAATTAAACCAGTTACACACACAGAGGTATACAGTTAGATTACCTTTGTGTATCTTTGTATCTTAAAATATAACTTACTGATATTACTGAGTACTACAGGGGATTTTTGTATCATTCAGATGTTTTGTAATACACTGTTCACTTGCCATGTAAAACACGCAGCCTAAATAAAAAAGATGACGATCATCAAACGAAATGTAATTACTTCCCGTCTTGCGAGATATAAAAAAAAAAACCCAATAAAAATGATGACACATGATCTTGGCTCAGAGAAAAGTGTCCATCACACCCCCTGAAGGCAAAATGAACTCATTGTCTGTCAGTAACCAAAGTAACTCTTGAGATAAGGCTTTACCTTGTTGCTGTCTGTTGGTGGCGTCTGTCTAGCAAACTCTATTTACACAGCAGGGATCAGTAGACAGGGCTGCAGTGCCTCGAGGCACAAAGCGCCGTTTATAGAGAGCGAGTCCTGGAGTTTTTAACTGCACCTTCTCAAACTAAACACTCCTAACAGGATATGGGACCAGTAGCCATTGGAGAAGGTGGGGAAAAAAAACTTCCAGAAGGCCCTCTTGTTGAAGTCTCTTCTCTTTTAGAGGTCCCACAGCTCTCTGGTAAAACTATGAACCATTTGTAAATGTGCACATTGACACTTTGTGTAAATAAGAGTGATTGGGAAAAGTGTATGCAGTCGGGGTTAGACCAACACACCGAGGCGAGCCATCTTTCCAAAAAACATGTGCTACTATAAGCTGCCTGGCTGAACCGCCACTCACATCCACTGGGATGTGGAAAGTATTAGTCACACGACCAGTGCAGCGGAGGCAGCTGGACAGAGAGTCTGGAGGATGTTCAGGGTGAGAGACATGTCCGTCTGCACCTCTTCCTGTTCGGTCAAACACACTTTCATAATTATTATTACATTACTACATGTCACTTGTTAGACGCTTTTATCCAAAGCGACTTACATACTCAATACTGTGGACAATCACCACAGGAGCAATTTGGGGTGAAGTGTCTTGCCCAGGGACACAACGACATGCTGACTGCAGTGGGGTTTAAACCTGTCCTGTTTAGACCCCCTGATCCGAACACTAACGCACAACCCACTGCGCCACACGCCTAACACAAATACACACACATAAACAGAGACTGGATGGAGTGGCTGAGTGAAGTGGGACACTGCCAGTCAGGTCACCTCGTTCTCTGGCCAGTGACCTCACACACCAGTACATCCGCTTCTGTGTGGGGGTGGGGTAGCATCCTCGATGAATGCCAAAATCACCTGCTTCCTGTAGACTCACAGGCAACTGTCTTTCCAGGAATCCGGCCATTTGAGACTGCTGCCTACACAAATATAGCTAGCTTTCACTTTTAATTTGACAATACTATTTCCGATTAAGCTTCAAAAATAAAAATCACATCCAAGCCCCTATAGCCCAGCACTAGAGGAAAGAAAAAGAAAACGGAAAAGCCAGCGAAAGGGAAAATAAATTGACTGAGAAATCACCTCTGAGAGAAAAGACAGCACCTGAAACTGTGGTGAGACAGAGGCTCCAGAAAGACTGGCAAAGTGTGAGACAGAGAGACAAAGATGTGTCATACCGGCCTTCAGTTAGCAGCCCATTACACACACTGAGGTTGGCAATGTCTCACACATAAACACACACACCAAAGACTGTAGGACTCATCCACCTTGAGCATATGTTTTCGTATAGTGTGTTGCGTCTGTGGTCTGTGTACGATGCAGTTTCCTCTGTGGTATTAAACGTCTCCGCATTTGAGAAAGAATGTCTACTTCTTCCAAGATGCATACCTTAAACCAAGGCGAAAGAAAAGAGGGAGGACAATTGGGAAGAGGCTAGACAGGAATGCGGTCAGGACGCTAGACGAGACAGCAGACGCGGTATTTCCAGTAAACTCAGACACCAAGTTAACCAGAAAAACCGAAGCATCTCTTTATCTCAGGTACACAAACAATATAAAATGTATTCCACAAATGTGCCATCTCTTTACTCCCCACCTAACCTGCTGTCTGCTGTACTACTATCACAGATACATCTTGCCAGCAAAGTTCATAGTGGAGCTCTGGTGTCCTTAAAATGTGTGTTTGCTTGCTAAAACTGACTTAAAATAAACTTTAAATGGTGGTTTATGCCTAGACAAACTAGTAAAACAGACAATAACACAACCCCACCTTAATCCACAAAACAATAGAAAGGGGGCAGTCCACTATGGTCAGAGGGGGGTCATGAGACATAAACCAGTCAATGGCAGGGAAACAATCTAGAGCTTTTCCCCCACACTGAATGCTGGCTTTTCAATAGGCTTGCTGTCCTTTTGGCTTAGACAGTGCAGAATAAAAAGAATCGCCCAAAATCATTTGGAAGACTCTGAAGAATTCTGGGTTCTGGTGATAATAAGTGCTGGCAATGCAATAAAGCATTTTAAATGTCAGGCTTGCATGAAGGTAAAATAGGTCACCAATGAGGTATATTATTCCATCCTCAACCTGTAGCTAAACATGTTCCTATTTTAATAATCACTTGTCTTGGTTTGCACTACTTTTATTTAGCATTTTCTCAAATCATGTAGGAATCTGCAAAACAAATTCCAGCTACCTTGGGCAAATTAGAAATGTTTTTTTAATTAAGTTAGATAAAAGGTTAAACTGCTGACAAATAGTCTTTATATTGGAGTTAACAAAGCTGAGCCTCCTATATTGACCTTTTGTTCAGTGACATTCCCAGTGACCTCCAGGTGACCTGAGGGGACAAATGATGCACTTCCATTTCAGCTGTGGCCAGCTGGTCTAACCTTGTCTGACCAGACCTGGCAAGGCAGATGACACCACCTGTCTCAGGCCCATTTAACATATACTAGGTCAACACAGGTTTAAGAAAACACCAGCTGGAAGGCAGTCTTGTCAAACCTGCTGAATACACAGACTATGGGACACCATCCAAAACAATTAAAAGTTTTAAATATTCTTCCTTTTCAGAATGAAGATACATTTAATACTAACCAAGATGCAAATAACATGCAGGAGAGCACTTACTTTTTCTAGCGACCTCTTGAGCTGGTAGTGGAACTTCTCTTTGACCTCATCCAGGAGCTGCTTGAGCTTTGGCTCCTCTGGCATGCCTTGGTACTTCCTGGCAAGCAGCAGGTAGCAGGGCCACTTGGCCGAGTCAAAGCCCCAGTGGCAGGTCCTCTTATCGGGTGACTTGTGTGAATGCATGACAAACTTCTGCGGTGAAAAGAGCAACTGGCACTCAATGCACTGGATACAGTGGGCCTCCGGCTGGGTGTAGAATTGGGGCACAAAAAGACCCTGGCACTTCCCCAAACACTGGTGCTCCACCTGGAAACTGGCTTCGCTCTCCTTCAGCAGGCCCTGGGTTGACAGCTTACCGCTGGGGTCAGAGGGCAATGTCGCCCCAGGACGCAGCAGAGCATTGCACAACCGCTGTGCATCCGTCAGTGTAATGAGGCCACAGGAAGGTGCGTTGAACGGCAATATGCCCAGCACCTTGAGGATGTGCAGCTGCTCAGCATCACAACGCGAGCAGTAGACGTAGAGCTCATCGCACACAGTGTTGATCTGCTGCAGCGAGAAGTCGCGGAGCACGGAGTTGAGCACCTGGGGCAGGCAAAGACGCTTCTCTCCCCCGACGACGAAGCAGGAGATAGACTCTCCTTCCAGCAGCGAGTGGGTGAGTTCAGTGGAGCTGTCACAGGGAACCAGCAGAGGGCCCCCTCCCAGAACAGGAGGGGAGGGCAGGGGAGGCATGCCGGCCGGGGAATGCTCGTGGCCGGTGCGGGCTGAGAAGGCAGCTGGGCCCCCGAGGGAGCTCTGGCTGCTGAGGGTGAACTGGGCCAGTGTGTGTTTGAGCCCAGGGCTCAGGTCCAGGGCTTTAGCAGAGCCCACCATGTGCAGTTCAGCCCGGCCCTCCACATCCATGTCGTCATGACACAGTTCTTCGATAAACTCCCTTTTCACCTTGGGAGTTTTGGGGAGGGAATCCAAGCTGCGACGCTTCAGGTTGATCTCCGCCATAACTCGCTTCTTGATGGGCGCGTCTTCCAGTTGCTCTCTGTACAGACGTTTCATGTTGCCCTTGAATGAGGTCAAGTCTTTGAAAGGGGTTTTCAAACTGGTCTGGGTGCTGACCATGTTTAGGGACTGTGTTATTGTTGTTTCTTTCAGCTGACTGAGTTCTTGTATTCCTCCAAGCTTTTTATTGTCCTTAAGTCTCTTCAAATTACACAAATCTTCTGGTAGTGACACACATGCATGATGATGACTGAAGTTTTCTATTTTCTGATCCGCTTCCTGAGTATAAACATGAAAACAAGAATTTAGAAAACAGGGAAGAGGCAGAAAAAAATGATTCAGTCACTATCTAAATTATACCTAATCAATTAATTTCTTGTAGCTGAATAAACAAACTGAAAATGATATCATAAAATAATGCTGTGGAGCATGAAATAATCCATAAAGAGTTTAAATGTTTTATGACCGCTCTCCAGGCTGGGGGCTGCAGAGGTCAATGACTGCCCACTAAACCAAATGGCTATTACCATACTTCACACAAACACTAGGCTTGCTCAGCCCTTGTAATTGAACCCGGGAGTAAATTTGCATTAAGGTTTTCAAACAAACTTTCTAGCACAAAGTGAGAATTTTAACAAGGAAAACCAGTTGACCAGACATGACAACCCAAGTGAAATTCCCCACCTCCTCCCCCCTCTCCCATTACATTGTTAATGTAAGGCTAATACAATAGTCAAAAACATTTCACTTAGCAAATGAAAGTGCCCTTCCCAACCATATTGTGCCTTCCCCTAGGTCTGCTTACCCCACGCTGACCCCATCAACTCCATGAAAAACAATTGATAAAAGCGTTAACAGCGGTCGTCCCCTTCTCTCAGGCCTTTCACAGCGTGACATACAGCAGTATGGAAAGCGGTGTTTCCCCCTTTTTACTCTTAAGCTTTAGTGCGGTATTTACTACATCGACTGTAGGTAAACAAGAGTTAGCTGGTGTCCCCAATTCAATACGTTATCTAGATGATAATGGCTAATGCTACAATATGACACCAAGAGACGGCAGATTGAATACAGTTTAAGTTTGTTAATGCAACATTTAATAATGACCATTTTGGTTGAGAAATGCATTCGATTTCTAAATTCAAAGTAAATGGGGATTTCGGCTTGTCAAAACAGGTAAAACGCACATTGTGTAAATTGACCACGATGCATGTATTTGCATGTTTTGCAAATGTCAGCATAACATCGTTTTTTTCACCGAATGAAATGCTGCAAACCTCGAGCTCGATTCCGGTTGATGTTTGTGGGCGTTTTTAATGGAACATATCACGGTGAGAAAAAAAACCTGCAAAAATCAGATGGGCAACCAATATATTTGGGTCTACGCAGCTTCTACTTCAGCCTGCTCGGGACTCCGGGCTGGCTGCAAAAAATCTTCAACTTGATCGGTGTAATTGTGTCAGAAATGAAAACACCGACATTTCTTCGCTAAAATAACACCGCAGCGGTATTTCTCAAACAACCTCACAGCCATAATAGGACAAATGTCCAAATGTCACCTCCACTCTCGTATCCCTTTTTTGCCCCTGCAAGGACACCGCGGATAATAATGCTGCTGCTCCATCCCCAGATATCCCCCTCCTCCTCTCTCCGGTCTGCAAACTGTACCTCGCCACGACCGCACTGGTATGCAGACAGCGCTGATAATGACATTCACTGTCTGCACTACAGTCTGGGCTGGAGGGAAGGCACCGCGGTCCGGCGCTACGCACACACCGCCTCAGTGAGGACACGGTGGGGTTTACAACCGCAGAGTTCCCCGTATGTTTAAAAACACAGGTAGCCGTTACCCCCAACGGTCAAAGAAAACATTAAATGGTACGCATTTGTATGTCAGCTTATTTTAAATAAATTAAATGTCTTGACATATCAGGGGAAACGTAAATATGATGCGCATTCGTCTGGAAATCTATTAAGAATTATTTAATTTTCCACGTTACATTCTAACGTTAACTGTGCTAACGTTAGCTAGCTTAGCTCCCCCAGCTTACCCCGGCTATAAAGCGGTCTAATCAGCATAGCGGGGGTATGAAGCAGGCTCTCAAGAGCACAGACAGGCTAACTTAACCAGGTTCACCCCACCAGCAACGAGAGCGATAATAAAACCGATCAGCAAACACACACTGTGATAAAAAGCAGAGTGGGTCGCGACTGAGAAGGACAACCCACCTTATTATTAAGGCCGTTATAGTAAGCGACAACACGGGACTTAAAACGCTAACATTACAGCAGGCTAACCCCCAGAAAGAGAGCGATACAGCAGGCTAACTAACCCTTAGCTCCCCCCTCTAGCTCTGGATCATCGGCTGAACACAGGAATTTAAACTCAACCGTTAACCGTTGGGATCCGTTACCCCCAATGTCTAAATACTGTTTGAAAACACATCCTAAAATATCCATGTTTTGTATTTAATCGAGTGAAAACTTGCCTGAAAACGCAGCGCTGTGACGGCCGTCCTCTCTCCAGCGGGGTCTTCTCGGTACTGGAAAAGCCTGGCGGACCGTCGACAACAAGATGCAGCGAGAGGCTCCACTACAGCCCGCAACGTCACACTGCACACAGGCGGGGAGGCGGAGACGTCACCCGGCTGACGGAAACTATGCGGGGGTGTCTGTCTGTCTGTCTGTCTGACTGTCTGACTACTGCACAGCCTGGGAGATTTTAAGAGAAAGGAGACAATAAAGATGCTTATATGTTTCTGTCCCTTTAGATTGTTATAAGAGAGTATTTTAATGTATTCTGTATATTTTATAGTGTGTATTCCAGTGGGGTAAAGTAACTAAGTACGTTTGCTCAAGTACTGTATTTAAGTACAGTTGAGGGACAAGGAGTAGGCCCTCTATGTATTTACCTTGGAGATTTTGATTATGATGTGATATATAATCAAAACCTAAATAAGACCTGAGTAACACCTGACAAAATGTATTCTATTGGTATCTATCTATGTTACATTTCTGTGGACTAGAACATTTGATTGTGTAATGTGTATGTAAGAAAATTATATTTATATTATGATGTATATCACAAAACTATATGTTTTTTCAAATTGTATCACAATGTTATTTATTAATGTAATGTGAGGTATATTACACAAACTTTGGCATCATTAAATGTTTTTGGAACCTGTATCTGCTTTTACTTTTTGTATACGAACATATGTAGTGTAAACAATTATTCATGTTCCTTTGCCTTGCATCTTGTTGCAGGTCACCTTTATTGGCACGTCCTTGTCTTGCATGATTTTACATGACAATAAGCTTTATCTCTGTCTCTGGTTTGCTTTCCATCACGTTTGTGAAAATGAGAGGATAAGAGAGGGCAAACTCACCCTGGGCAAAAGGGGTGGCTTCTTCTCCCACACCTCCCCCGCACACCCCTCACTCCTTTTATGAACCTTTCCTCTGCAAAGGGTCAAGAGGTCATTCAGGCAGTCTATTGTCCCTTTAGCTACGATGTGAGTTAATGAAATCTGAGCATGAGAGGAGGTCAGGAATTAGATTTGATGAATTATAGCTAATTTCACTTGAAGTAGTGGAGTTCCCACTTGTGAGTTTACACACTATCATGTATTACTCCTGTTCTTGGCTTGGATCTTTAAGTGTTATCATGCTATGTCTACATGAGCTGGTTTTTTTGGCTGGCTGACTGACCCACAGTCTGATGTCACACGTCTGTGAGAGCAGAGCGGCTTGATAAAGCTTTGATAAACAACACCGTTGGCCGTTTCGCCGCAGCCTCTCTTTGACAGCAAGGTCAGCAGTTGTATTATGAGAGCAGATGTGCGTACACCCTGTCCAGCCCCAGAGAACAACAAGAAGGACATTGATTTTCCTGTAATAACATCACTCTGTGTACTGCAGGGAGTAAATTAATCTCATATCTGCCATATTGGGACCAACACTGATTGTTCATTAAAGCAAAAAGCTGAAGGATGAGGTTGTGAAAGATTCACAGACAGACTCTCACATTGATAAGCTTCTCCATTAGCGGAGACTCTGTCCAACTGTTATTGGACTTAGTACTAAGTGGACCCCGGGGGCACCTCACAGTCGTTTTCGTATCCTGTCTGGGAATCAATGGGGGATATTGAAATATGTCCCGAGTTGTTCCTTGGTTGTGTTTGTAATTTGCAGTAATGATGCTTGTTTGAAGTGCTGGTCTGAGGTCAGACAACTGCACCTCAGAGTCAGGTTTCATAAACTGGCAGTCCAGTGTATTATTGAACCAGGGTGTGAACTCATACTGAGGAAGACCAAGATTTGGGGTCAAAACATCATGTACACATTGAATTAAAGAAGAACTAAGATTGAGATAGCTGTGTTTTTGTCCCTTTTTTCAGCTAAACCTTGAAATGTATTTCTCATTACATAAATTGACGAACATTAGATTCATGTTTTCTTAACATCTATGTGAAAATGGTCAAAACAAATACATTTTACAATGAAACGTCCCGGGTTAATTACTTACATTAGGACACATCTCTTTTTAATTTTGAAATATGCACATAAGGCATTTTTATATTTTTTCTACTCCACTAGTCTGAAATAAGACTTTTTATGGAAGCAGAGTAGCCCAAAATCTCAAAATCAACCTGTGCATCAATACACTGTTTGTAATTAAAGTTTCTCGCCTTAAGTGATCGTGTTTCTCTCTCCTGTTCTAATCAATGTATGTTGCAGCAGCAATGCTCCTTCATGATTCTACTGGTAAGTCCCATTCATTCATGTACAACTTTAGGTGTTTCTGAAGTGTTGGTCATGATGAATAACCTCAAGTGCATCCTAATGATGTTTTTATATCTCGAGATGCCTCCACTATATCATTACAATCACTTCAGTAGAACGCACCAGTTCAAAGCCACCTAGCAGGAAGGTTGGGACAAGTGTACCTAACAACGGAGGCTGAACAACAACTCATTACCTCGGTGCTACAGACAAGAGCCCCAGTAAATGTAGTGTGAAAGCATGGAGACCGTGCCAAGTACACGATCCACCTTAAACTGCAGAGTGTGTTTTACTAAGGGATTGCATTTAGCACCGAGTATGATTCTTCTGCTGCCTAATTAATCCCTTCAGGGACGGAATAAAACACCCAACAAGATAAGAGCAATTAAAACAAGATGTTTTTTCAGATCCTCCTCCATTTTAACATCATTAATTATACAAGGTTAGTCTTCCCTGTGTCTTCCACCGGGTGATGTGGAGCCACAGAGCCTGGGGAGGTGAGTCCCCCCCCCAGTTCTCCACCGGAGAGGGCACAAGAACAATGTCAAACACACCATCATGGGAATACAGAATTATGCAAAGACATTTATCCTCGTCGTGCGTGCGGCAATTCTGTATATTTCTCGTGTCGAAGTGCAGTCATTTTCCACAAAATTTGGCTCAATTGAGAAAATATACAATGGTTATAGTGGAGCAGGATGTGTAATAAGCCTCACAATGGGTTTCTATCCACCATTGTGCGTCTTATTGCAGCACACAAATCAATCCGTTTTATTATTTCTGACACATCATCATTTCCACGACCCTTTTTCTTTCACCTCTCAGCGCTCAGCACTGTGTTGGGGGGGGGGGCAATGGTGTCAATGACCTTTTCACCCCCGGGTACACCGAGGGCCTTCTAAAGCCGGGCGGTCACGTGAGCAGTGCAGACATGCAGCTGGAATGGAAAAGCTGAAGCTTAACGACTCAAGCCTAATTCCTCTCTCCAGACGCCCAGGAGGGTCTGAGGCTCAGGTCTGGTCTCAGCAGTAAAACCCTCACAAGGTGGTGTGAGTTTGTGCAAAAAGGAATAATCTCCAGAGGGCAGTGCGCTATTTGTTCTCCAAACCAGTTCATTTTTTAGAGGGACTGAGTCAGTTCGATTTACAGGTTTCTTTTTATTTGCCAATCTCAAAAAGATCATTTAGACATTATTGGGGAGAGCAACGTCAGACTGAAATAAGTCATCTATTACAGGGGTTCCCAACCCCCGGTCCGCGGACCGGTACCGGGCCGCGGAGGTGTTACTGCCGGGCCGCGAAATAGCTGTGAGTTTATCGTAATATTTGCAGAATTATAAATATATAAAAATATTTTATCATAATATTTTTTTCAAAAAGTGTTTAATTTTCGCACATATGCCACCAGTCATATTATTTCATCCAGTAGCTAGTTAATCTTACACCAGAAAACCGTTGAAAATGGCTTTTATGATGTTCCGAGGGATTCGGCGGCTCAGCCTAAGGTCTCAGCCTCTTGTGCGCACGAGCATGTTACCGGTGCGCCAAGTAGGAAGAGGAGCGCACAGGAGACAACCGTTTGATTGCAGACTGTTATGTTTATGTGGGGAAATGGTGGTGCATACATTATTTGAGATATATTTCAAACTCGGACTTCATTTTAAGGTGGGCCAGGGGTGTAGAGGGAGCTATTTGTTTAAGCACCGGATTGGCAAAATAGGAGAGTAAACCAGTCTGCCTTGATCTATGAATTAATGACCGGGACTCTCACGGTATCTGCTGCCCGCAGCTGTTTTATAGAAGGAAACCCTCCTTCACTTCATGATTTGGCTGCAGCATCAGGAGGCAGCGGGACGTACTCGGTAAAGAGCTGTGCCTTTTTACGCACCGCCTTCGCTGTGTTTAACTTAATCAGAACAGTTTAAGAGTGACTGCAGGCTGCTACGTGTTAACCACACACACATCTACACACATCGAACTGCCCGATTACTCCCCCTTTTATTAGTTTTATGAAGGAGATGTCCAGTCAGTCACCAAGACGCATGTGTGTGTATGTGCTCTGCTCAGCTCAGCTATGTGTTCGGTGTGTTTGTGTCTGTCCGACACCGGCATATATGCGGCTGTTCCCAAAATAAATTAGTTTAATCTTAATCTCGATGTAGTGCTAAACTGTCGGGAGTGCACCGGAACGAACGACACTATCATAATATCTTCTGAAAATAAATGCCAGTGTCACACACACACACACACACACACACACACACACACACACACACACACACACACACACACACACACACACACACACCCTGGCGACCGGACATCTCCTTCATAATGCACCTTCTCCTCGTTTTCCCAGCATTCACTGGATTAAAAAAAAACAACACCGGTTCTTTTTTAAACTTTGTTAATATGTTTTGGATGCATATTGTTCTAGTATTTGTTCAGGCTGTTACATACAATTAGCCTCTGTTGCTACCTGCTGGTGGTGAGTAAATATTAAAATCAGTTAAAATTGACAACCGGTCCGCGATTTTTTTTTAATGTATCTACCGGTCCTTGGCACAATAAAGGTTGGGAACCCCTGATCTATTAGATTGATTTTTATGAAAATGTGTGCAAATATTCAATAAGCCTACTGACTTTTCAGACTTTTCCAGTAGCACCAACATGAGGTGGACATTTTTAGTAAAACTACTGGATGTAGTGCCATAAAATAGACAGTGCCAAAAAAATAATCCTATTTAATTAGGTGATCCTCTCAATTTAATCACTGGTGTCACATCACATTTTAAGTTTTATCATGTCTGTCTTTATGTGTTAAAACACATCTTTTGGACT